TGCCATAGGCTTGCTTGGAGTCTGAACACGCCATTACCCTTTTCCAAATCAATGCTCCCTCTCCCATTACAGACTGCTGAGATCCAATAGCCTCACAATAAATACCAAAGGTTTTCATGTAGCCCTCATGCCATGGTTTGGACGCCAGGGGCCAAGGACAGCAGAAGGAATCAGCCATATATATTCCTTGAGTTTATGTGGAAAGATTAGTGGCTATGGTAAGTAGAAAATTGCCAACATAACTATCACTGTTTCAGACGTCATTTTCTAGTGCCATTTGCTATATGATAATATGAGTTCTCATGGATCAAACTGATTTTTTTTCCCCCCAGCCCGCGCCCCCCCCCCATCCTCTCCATCATGACTAGCAACGCCACCATCCATCCCACCCCACACGCCAAAGTCCTGGGTGTCACCCTGGACTCAAACCTTTCCTTCCAACCTCATGTCCAATCACTATCAAATTCATGCAGTCTCCACCTTCGCAACATCTCCAAGATACGTATGTTCCTCACCCCAGACACCACTAAACAACTCGTGCACTCCCTTATTATCTCCCTTATTATCTCACGCCTGGACTACTGCAACTCCCTTCTCACTGGCCTACCCAAACACATGCTATCCCCACTCCAGTCTATCCTGAACTCAGCGGCTAGACTCATCCACCTCACCAACCGCTCCACATCTGCCACCCCCCTCTGCCAATCCCTTCACTGGCTCCCGATTGCCCAATGCATCAAATTCAAATTACTAACTCTGACATACAAAGCCATTCACAACCCTGCCCCAAACTACCTAACCGACCTGATACCCAAATACCACCCTACCCGTGCCCTTCGCTCCTCACAGGACCTCCTACTCTCCAGCTCCCTAGTCTCCTCCTCCCACACCCGACTGCAGGACTTCTCCAGGACTTCCCCCATCCTCTGGAACTCCCTACCCCAATCCATCAGACTGTCACCTACCATCCTCAACTTTAGGCGCACCCTGAAAACCCATCTCTTCAGAGAAGCCTACCCCACCACCTCACCTATCAGCCATTCTCCTCCACTCCTCCAGCACTCCATCCCCCACAGCCACTTCCTCCTGTACCTCTACCCCCTCCCTCCTAGATTGTAAGCTCGAAAGAGCAGGACCCTGGAACCCCTCGTGTATTGTATTGTTACTGTATTGTCTCATGTACTGTCCCCCCACTCTATTGTACAGCGCTGAGCAAACCCTTTGGCGCTATATAAACACTGTATAATAATAATATATTTCTTCTGCTTCAACTTTGTAAATCACTATCTGGTTAAACCTGTTTTTTTTTTTTTAAAAAGTGTCATAAACACTTCATCATATGCTTCCTACAATAAAAGCATTATACTATTATGTAAAAAGCTATCAAAAATCACACGATATAACTTAAAAGAGCCCCATAGAAAATTACAAATCAAAGCTGAGGATGTTATTACATCAATAAACATAACAGATGATCCTATTCTTTTCTTGTTGCATAAAACAGTCAGGGGTGTAACCAGAAATCACAGGGTCCGATAACATATCACTTCTTGTGATATTGTGTCAGTGAGACACAATATCACACTTAACACTCCTAACCTTTCCCCTCTTGATTCAATGTTAAAATAATTTTTTGTCTGCAATTGGCTTTAAGATCATGGAAGGACCGAAACACCTGAAGGAAATCCATACAAAGATGGGTAAACTCTGTCTGGATGGTTTGTATAAGGAGAATGTAACACAGAGCATCCAGATCAATAACAAAATGATAGCAACAGCTTGCGGGTGACTCTTTTATTTTTTTCTTCAATTAGAGCAATCAAGGGAACCATAACTGATTGGATGTCCCTGTTTGACTGAGCCACCATAAAGCTGTGAAATATAGGTCTGGTTATGATTAGGTTAATCCAAATGGGTTCCGTATTACTGGATAAGAGGACTTTTGGTTGAGGGATTAGAGAAATGCCACATTAAAACATTAAACTCCTTAGTTTTTTCATTTAGAGAAAAAAAGAAAAAGAAAGCGTATAGTACAGACTGTAACTTGGGTGAAATTAGATTAGAAAGTTGTTCAAATCCAAGCTATTAGAGGGCTACCAGATCTTAAAAAAATACATAAATAAAACCAAGTTTTTCATATTTAAGTGTAGATACCTTAAAACGATGCATAGTATCTGTAAAACTGTTTGAAGAATGGTTAAAGTACCAAAACTTGTAATGAGGATTGTATAGGCAGACTAGGGAATGATTTCATGAATCTTAGGATGGCCTGCCACTACATTGGTCATGGGAGCCCAAGTAGAAGTGAAGTCCTAGGTTCTTCCTGTGGTCATCATGTTTGGTTGGGAAGCAAGCAGTAGAGGTGTGTTGGGAGGTAAGAATATTCAAGTCAGCCAACAATGTCACAAGCAGGGAGAGTTGACATAGGAAAGGTGCCAAATCGTATCGGGAAAGTTCAAGGTAACCCAATATTATTGGCAGTTTCCTAAACAACTTAAGCCCACCATGTGGGCTCCTCCAGTTGCTGCAGAAATGGGTGTCTTTTTAGGCCTTTTGTGTTCTGAATATATTCATTGTTGCTTGGTGTAAGCTTTTTTAAAAAGGGTAGAGTGAGAACTATCATTTCAAACCACTGTCAGCAGAATAGAGTGTTTATACATTTCCACATAAGTTAGTAAGAGGGGAAAAAAGGGGCAATTTATCAATTTTTAACAAGCAAGACAAGAGTACTCGGTATGGGCAATTGTCTGTGTTATTAAATGGAAGCGGAACTAAACCTCCTATCCTTGACATCCAAGTTGTGGTCACCTTAGTCTCTGTTTAATCTGCAGTTGTCATAGTGCTGCATTATTAACTAGCTATGACACTATTCATGTGATGGCTTGAAAGATCAGCTAACGTAAACACAAGTAACTGCTAGTTATCATTCATGGCATTCCTTGAATGTAACTGTTTTGGAAAACAGTTAAAATTGTTGGGTTTGGTTCCACTTTAAGTGGAAGCTCTCATGAAGCAAACGCCTGTCTGAGAAAGTTCTGATGAAGAAGCCATCCCTTAATGTATGTGCTGCCTCCAGGGCAGTGAAGCTGAAACTATTCACTAAGCATGGCTCCACTTCTAGTTGGGGATGGCTGCTTCCACTGGTATTTCACTTTTTGACCATTTCCCTTTAAATCAGCAGCCATTCCCTCTTTCATGTGATCCATGTTTACCTCCAAAAATTTTCCAAGACCTGTTCCAAAATAGTTTTAGAGTATGTTAGCAGGGGTCTGATTCACTGCCAGGAACAGGAGGGAGTAAAAAAACACCTCAGTTATAGAGGAACTCAGCCATCTTGACTATTCAGGTACTCCTGGCCTGAGGCTTGCTTCTAAGAACATCTAGAGGTTTCTTTAAATAATTGATTGTCCTCTTGGAGAGCCTTTCCAGATCCTTTACTTGAACAATGTAAGAATGGTACAAATGATACAGAACAGTACAACACCTCCTCATTATTTATCTAGAAACGTTGGCAGAACTTGCAGAAAAACAGGGGTACCACTCAGCCTTTCCAAATTGTATTTCCAAAAGTCCTTAACTATCTTTCTGAAAAGATGTCACTGACACTATTCAACAACTTACCTCTGTAAACTTGCACAATAACCAGTCAGCATGCATTCTGCACTTAACAGAATGCCCCATCTCGAAATACAAGTCTTCCCTAGTCATCCATCTTTTAAGTTCAACAAACTGAACAAAGGCCTGTGTCAGGAGTCAGCAGCTGAGAAGACCAGATCTGTGTAGCTACACAAAGGAACTGGGACCAAACAATGTATAATGAAGTACATTTATGATCAGTAAGCAAAAAGATATGCATGCACCAGCAAATAGCAAACAAACAACAAGTGACCTACAACCAAAAATGCCTAAGTAACAGAAGCCTAGCAAACTTTATACAATATGTACAATATGGGAATCAAGGGTAACAGGGGAAATGCAAGAAGAAGGGGGAATCAGGACTGGGTACATCAAGGTGAGCGGCAGTAAGGGAACAGAATGCAAAGATAGTACAACACCAAGATGGCTCTGGCAGCAAGCACGGAAATCAAAACACTGACGCAAGGAGTAATAGCAGAGGTGGAACTTAATCGCTTCCCGACCACCCTATAGCAGAAATACTGCTACAGGGTGGCACGAGTGTGCAAAATCACGTGTATATACAGTTGTGTTCAAAATAATAGCAGTGTGTTGAAAAAAGTGAATAAAGCTCAAAATCCTTCTAATAGCTTTTATTTCTATACACACAAATGCATTGGGAACGCTACACATTCTATTCCAAATCAAAACATGAAGAAAAATATATCAAATTTGTGTTGTTCCTCTAAAAAAATTGAAGAAAAGTGAATATTAGACTGTTCAAAAAAATAGCAGTGTTTGTATTCTTCTTTAAAAACTCAAACATTCACTATATAAACTGAAAAATGTTTGAAGATTTTGCTTTCCTTTGAATCACTTAACCACTTGCCTACCAGGCACTTATACCCCCTTATTTACCAGGCCAATTTTCAGCTTTCAGCGCTGCCGCATTTTGATTGACAATTGCGCGGTCATGCAACATTGTACCGATATGAAATTTTGATCATTTTTTTCTCACAAATAGAGCTTTCTTTTGGTGGTATTTAATCACCACTGGGCACTTTACTTTTTGCGCTATAAATAAAAAATTGCCAAAAATTTGAAAAAAAAAAGTTTCTTTGTTTCTATTATAAAATTTTTCAAACAGGTAATTTTTCTCCTTCACTGATGTGCGTTGATGAGGCAGCACTGATGGGCACTGATAGGCGGCACTGATGGGCACTGATAGGCAGCACTAAAGGGCACTGATAGGCAGTACTAATGAGGTGGCACGGATAGGCGGCACTGATAGACAGCACTAATGAGGTGTCACGGATAGGCGGCACTAATATACAGCACTGATAGGCGGCACTGATAGGTGACACTGATGATGGGTACTGATAGACGGCACTGACTGGCATCACTGCTGGGCACTGACTGGCGGCACTGACTGGCACAACCGCTGGGCACTGACTGGTGGCACTGACTGGCAGCACTGCTGGGCTGCACTGGTGGGTGGCACTGGTGGGCAGCACTGGTGGGTGGGCACAGGTGGGTGGCACTGGTGGGCACAGGTGGGTGGCACTCGTGGGCACAGGTGGGTGGGCACAGGTGGGTGGCACTGCTGGGCACAGGTAGGTCGCACTTCTGGGCACAGGTGTGTGACATTGCAGAGTGGCACAGGTGGGTGCACTGCTGGGCACAGGTAGGTGCACTGCTGGGCACAGGTGGGTGATCTGCTGGGCACAGGTGATCGGAGCTAGTGGGCGCACTGCTGGGCACAGGTGGGCGGAACTTGCGGGTGGCACTGCTGGGCACCGATCATCAGGGCACTGATCATCAGTGCCCTGATGATCGGTGCCGATCCCCGCTCTGACAACTGCCGGTTCTCGGCAGTACTTTCCTCGCGATCTGACAGCGTGAGGAAAGTGCAGCCGAGAACCGGCACTTGCATTTCCCTCTGATCAGCGTGTCATTGGACACCGTTGATCAGGTGGTAAAAGGCCGCTGTGATTGGCCTTTTACCACATCACGTGATCAGCTGTGTCCGTAGGACACAGCGATCACGGAGATCGCCGGGTGCGCGCCCCCTGGGGCGCGCAGGAGAGCGCGTTCTGGGGGGACGTCATATGACGTCCACTCAGAACTGGCCGGCCGCAGTGCAGCCGTCATTCGGCTATCTGCGGTCGGCAACAAGTTAATGAATATTTCGTTGTATAAGCACTGTTTCTGAGAACTGCTGTACATCTGTGTTGCATGGAGTCAACCAACTTCTGGCACCTGTGAACAGGTATTCCAGCCCAGGATGATTGGACTACTTTCCACAGTTTTTCTCTATTTCTTGGTTTTGCCTCAAAAAAATGCATTTTTGATGTCACCCCACAAGTTTTCTATTGGATTAAGATTCGGGGATTGGGCTGGCCACTCCATAGCATCAATCTTGTTGCTCTGGAACCAAGATGTTGCACGTTTACTGGTGTGTTTGGGGTTGTTGTCTTGTTGGAACACCCATTTCAAGGGCATTTCCTCTTCAGCATAAGGCAGCATGACCTCTTCAAGTATTCTGATGTATTCAAACTGATCCATGATCCCTGGTATGCGATAAATAGGCCCAACACCGTAGTATGAGAAACATCCCCATATCATGATGCTTGCGCAACCATGCTTCACTGTCTTCACAGTGTACTGTGGCTTGAATTCAGTGTTTGGGGGTCGTCTGACAAACTGTCTCCGGCCACTAGACCCAAAAAGAACAATCTTACTTTCATCAGTCCACAAAATGTTGCGCCATTTCTCTTTAGGCCAGTCAATGTGCTCTTTGGCAAATTGTAACCTCTTCAGCACGTCTTTTTTTCAACAGTGGGACTTTGCGGGGGCTTCTTGCAGATAGCTTGGCTTCACATAGGCGTCTTCTAATTGTATCTTATCCATGTTCCTTGCCGACAATAGCCATTATTAGACTGGAGTAGGCTGGCAAGTTGAACTGGATAGTCCAATTTTTTACTTTGTGACGCCTTCCATGTTCACTGGTTAAAAAGCCAGTTATAGACCTGGGTAGGTGGCCAGTTTTTTCTTTGTATGTTAATTTTGGAGGTTCAGTGGGTGCATTGGACACCCTGGCTGCCGTTGTGCTACATGGTGGGTGTCAGGTGCGCTCCCATGACCTTAATGAGGGGTGAACCCCCTCAGGTTCACCTGCCCTTGTTTCTATCCATTTAAATGCATGTGCCTCCATTGTGAGGACTCTCAAGATTTATAGAGTTAGGACCACAGATACTCAGGGTGCCGTGATGTGGCTCTGTGGCTTACATATGTATTTGCAAATGTGTGCTAACTAAACCCCTGTTTTTAAACGCATGTTCTTAGACAGATTAATTTGGTTTTTGATAGTTGGCTAACTGGCTAGCAGTTTGAACTGGCTTTCTTATCCCCCTCTTTTGATATGTTATACTTATCCATGTTCCTTGCCGACAATAGCCATTATTAGACTGGGGTAGGCTGGCAAGATGAACTGGATAGTCCTATTTTTTACTTTGTGACGCCTTCCATGTTCACTGTTTAAAAAGCCAGTTATAGACCTGGGTAGGAGACCAGTTTTTTTCTTTTTTTTTTCTTTGTATGTCTTCTAATTGTAACAGTACTCACAGGTAACTTTAGACCTTCTTTGATCTTCCTGGAGCTTGTTGGCTGAGTCCTTGCCATTTTGGCTATTCTTCTATCCATTTGAATGGTAGTTTTTTGCTTTCTTCCACGTCTTTCAGGTTTTGGTTGCCATTTTAAAGCATTTGCGATCATTTTAGCTGAGCAGCCTATCATTTTCTGCACTTCTTTATATGTTTTTCCCCTCTCCGATCAACTTTTTAATCAAAGTACGCTGTTCTTCTAAACAATGTCTGGAACGACCCATTTTCCTCAGAATTTCAGAGAGAAATGCACTGTAACCAGCATGGACAACATTTGCTGCCTTCCTTCCTTAAATAAGGGCAATAATTGCCACCTGTTTTTCAAAGAATGAATGACCTCACTAATAGAACGCCACACTGCTATTATTTTGAACATGCCCCTTTCAATGAGTGATTCAATTACACAGAATCAGCAGCATGCATGTCATGACTGTTGGGTCTGTTGGATTTCTATTACTCTACTACACCTGCTAGTAAATTATTTGCCATGTAGAAATATCATTTCTATCAAAAACAGTGATTGATCAGGTTAGTGATGTCTGACTGCTATTATTTTGAACACAACTGTACATGATTTTGCATTTCCGGGTGTGGCCAGGTGAAGCTGTTTGCAGCAACCTGCTGGCTGCTGGGAGACACCTGCTGGTGGTCACTGGAACTGAAGCTATCAGCCCAGAGAACCACAGCGCCATCAGCAGGTGAACTCGGTCCTAACAGCCTGTATTCCAATTCTATGAAAGAAGTCTTGCCTCCCCATGATTTTCAACAATATTCTAAACATGGAGGACTTTCCTGCCCAGTGTCATTAGTACAGTGTCAGTGCTTATTATTAGCACAGATCACTGTATTAGTGTCAGTCAGTTCCCCCCAGTGTCAGAATGCCCGCCACATTCCCGTAGTCCCGCTATAAGTCACTGACCACCGCCATTACTAGTATAACTTTTTCTTTTTTAATTCTAGTATACAGGTGAAACTCGAAAAATTTGAATATTGTGCAAAAGTTCATTTATTTCAGTAATGCAACTTAAAAGGTGAAACTAATATATGAGATAGACTCATTACATGCAAAGCAAGATAGTTCAAGCCGTGATTTGTCATAATTGTGATGATTATGGCTTACAGCTCATGAAAACCCCAAATCCACAATCTCAGAAAATGAGAATATTGTGAAAAGGTGCAATATTCTCGGCTCAAAGTGTCCTACTCTAATCAGCTAATTAGGCCATAACACCTGCAAAGGGTTCCTGAGCCTTTAAATGGTCTCTCAGTCTGGTTCAGTAGGAATCACAATCATGGGAAAGACTGCTGACCTGACAGTTGTGCAGAAAACCATCATTGACACCCTCCATAAGGAGGGAAAGCCTCAATAGGTAATTGCAAAAGAAGTTGGATGTTCCCAAAGTGCTGTATCAAAGCACATTAATAGAAAGTTATGTGGAAGAGAAAAGTGTGGAAGAAAAGGTACACAAGCAGCAGGGATGACCACAGCCTGGAGCAGATTGTCAGGAAAAGGCCATTCAAAAGTGTTGGGGACTTTCACAAGGAGTGGACTGAGGCTGGAGTCAGTGCATCAAGAGCCACCACACACAGACGGATCCTGGACATGGGCTTCAAATGTCGTATTCCTCTTGTCAAGCTGCTCCTGAACAACAAACAACGTCAGAAGCGTCTTACCTGGGCTAAAGAAAAACAGACCTGGTCTGTTGCTCAGTGGTCCAAAGTCCTCTTTTCTGATGAGAGCAACTTTTGCATCTCATTTGGAAACCAAGGACTCAGAGTATGGAGGAAGAATGGAGAGGCACACACTGCAAGATGCTTGAAGTCCAGTGTGAAGTTTCCACAGTCTGTGTTGATTTGGGGAGCCATGACATCTGCTGGTGTTGGTCCACTGTGCTTCATTAAGTCCAGGGTCAACGCAGCTCTCTACCAGGAGATTTTGGAGCACTTCATGCTTCCTTCCGCAGACGAGCTTTATAGGGATGCTGACTTCATTTTCCAGCAGAACTTGGCACCTGCCCACACTGCCAAAAGCACCAAAACCTGGTTCAATGACCGTGGGATTACTGTGCTTGATTGGCCAGCAAACTCGCCTGATCTGAACCCCATAGAGAATCTATGGGGCATTGCCAAGAGAAAGATGAGAGACATGAGACTGAACAATGCAGAAGAGCTGAAGGCCGCTATTGAAGCATCCTGGTCTTCCATAACACCTCAGCAGTGCCACAGGCTGATAGCTTCCATGCCACGCCGCTTTGAGGCAGTAATTGCTGCAAAAGGGGCCCAAACCAAGTACTGAGTACATATGCATGCTTATACTTTTCAGAGGTCTGATATTGTTCTATGTACAATCCTTGTTTTATTGATTGAATGTAATATTCTAATTTTCTGAGATTGTGGATTTGGGGTTTTCATGAGCTGTAAGCCATAATCATCACAATTATGACAAATCACGGCTTGAACTATCTTTCTTTGCATGTAATGAGTCTATCTCATATATTAGTTTCACCTTTTAAGTTGCATTACTGAAATAAATGAACTTTTGCATGATATTCAAATTTTTCGAGTTTCACCTGTATATAATTTTCACGTAAAAATTTAATTTACACATATTTTTTTTTTTTTTTTGCAAAGACATATAAATTTTAGTCAAAATTTATGACAAAAATTTTTTTGTATTGTTTTATAGCAAAAAAGTCAAAAATATTGTTTTTTTTTTCAAAATTGTTGGTCTTTTTTTTGTTTATAGCGCAAAAAAATTAAAAATGCAGAAGCGATCAAAAACTAGGGGTTACCCCTGGTTCACATATATGCAGCCATGTGGGCCGTGTTTTTGCGCGGGCATGAGAGCCCATTCATTTGAATGGACTCCCGTGCCCCATTCAGCAACAGTAAATCTTAAAGCTGTCAGCTGATCGGCCTTTAGTGGCTCTGATTTTAGGCACAGTGCCAAGAATAGAGAGCAACTGAGCATGTGCAGAACAGGGTGAGACAATTTGTTACTTGATTTTACACAGTATAGGCAGTTATTTTTAATGTTTTACATAGCTATATCTGCAAAAGGGGCCAGCCTAAAGTGATCTATCAGGACTTTTCTAAATAAAGTTCCACTTTAAATTCTTAGATGCCCTCTCACAGATGACAGACCCACAAGTGGACTGTGTATATTACTCATGGCTTTACCATGTAGCCCTGCCTCTCCCCCCCCCATCTCTCTTTCCGCTCCCCAATCTCTCCCCCCTCCCCCCAGGGAGGAACTTACGTTTCATTTAAG